GCCATGGCGCTCCCCGGCCCGCCCCGCCGCGCAAGGCCCGCCCAGGCCCGCCCCGCCGCCTCACGGAGCCACCGACCGGGGATAAAGCGGGAATAAAGAGGGAATAAAGCGGGAAAGCGACACTTCTAACGCTAAAACCCCGGGATCGTAGAATCACGGGACTGTCCGGGTTGGAAGGGACCTGTAAGATCATCAAATCCAACCATCAACCTGATAAAACCCATCACTAACCCACGTCTCTACGCACTATGTCAACCCGGCTTTTGAATCGTATAGACTCAGGATCACAGAATCTTCCAGGTTGGAAGGGACCTTCAAGATCATCTTGTCCAACCGTCAACCCAACTCTGACAAAAAAACCATGTCCCTCCCCCAGCACCATGTCCCCCAGCACCGCATCAACCCGTCTCGAACACCTCCAGGGACAGTGCCTCAACCACCTCCCTGGGCAGCCCATTCCAAGGCTCAATATGTCCCTCTCATGGAGAGGGGCAGCGGGAATGGCTGTGGTTACAGTGCCTGGGCTGGAAGGGTTGGGGTGTGGGATGGTTTTAGCTCAGATGAGGGAACCTGGAGCCAAACCAGGGCATTTCTACCACGGGCACGGGTTTATTATTGGTTATCAACAGGTCCCACAGCACTAACAAGCTGTTGTTACAGAGGCAACGCAAACACACGTGCGTTCATCGCCCTCTCATGGCAATATCTGAGCTACGAGGTTCTTCACAAAAAACAGTTTTGCTTATTGCAGCCTGAGGAGGCAGCACGGCCAGCCCTCACTGCCCCGTCCCTCAATTCCAGACACTTCTCTGCTGGAAGGAGCCTAGAAGGGTCCATTTCCCACTCTGCTAACAACATTCCCATCACAAACGAGTAACACAAGATCTCAGTGCTTACCTGTGCAGACAAGAACCTCTTCAGAGCATTTCCTGGTTTCAGGTTGACTCCCTTCAGCACGCAGCACACAATGAAGGCTCGAACATCTTTGACGCCCGGGCTCGCTTTGACCACCAAGGGTGCTGGGTTTTCGGAGACGTGCAGCACCTTCACCAGCAGCTTGCTCGCTTCCTCCAGCTCGTCCTGCTCCCCGTCCACGCCATCCTTCCTCTGTTGCTTCTCCCTCTTCTTCTTCCTGGCCTCCTCTCTGCCGCTCTCGGCTTTCCCCTTCCCGCGGCCGCCGGCCCGCAGGTACTCCAGGATGGCCTTCATCTGGCAGCTGTTGACCATCTTCTCCAGCCGCTTGTCCTTCAGCTGGTTGCCCTTGAAGTTGGCTTCCTTCAGGCGGGGGCAGTCGGCCAGGGCGGCGGGCAGCTCCCGCAGCTGGTTGTTGCCCACGTCCAGGCTCTGGAGGAGACAAGAGAGATGGGGGTCAGTGGGGATGGTGGGGATGGGGGTCAGTAAGGATAATGGTCAGCAGGGATGGGGATCAGTAAGGATAATGGTCAGTGGGGATGGTGGGGATAGCGGGGATGAGGGTCAATGGTCAGTAGGGATGGTGGAGATAGTGGTCAGTGAAGATGGTGGGGATGGAGATCAGTGAGGATGGGGATCAGTGGGGATGGGGAGAATGGAGGTCAGTGGTCAGTGGGGATGGTGGTCAGTAAGGATAATGGTCAGTGGAGATGGGGGTCAGTGGTCAGTGGAGATGGTGGGGATGGGGGTCAAGAGGGATGGTGGTCAGTGGGGATGGGGGTCAACGGTCAGTGGCAATGGTGGGGATGGGGGTCAGTGGTCAGTGGGGATGGTGGAGATAGTGGTCAGTAGGGATGGTGGAGATAGTGGTCATGGGGGATAGTGGGGATGGGGGTCGGTGGGGATGGTGGGGATGGCGGTCAATAGGGTTGGTGGGGATGGCGGTCAATAGGGTTGGTGGGGATGGCGGTCAATAGGGTTGGTGGGGATGGCGGTCAATAGGGTTGGTGGGGATGGCGGTCAATAGGGTTGGTGGGGATGGCGGTCAATAGGGTTGGTGGGGATGGCGGTCAATAGGGTTGGTGGTCAATGGTCATTGGGGATGGTGGGGATGGGGATCAACATCAACTTGGTGGGGAT